GAGTGTCACGAGGATGGAGCCAGGCTCTTCTCAGTGGCAAACAATGAAAGGACAAGGGGTAATGGGTACAAATTGGAGCACAAGAGGTTCCACTTAAACCTGAGAAGAAACTTCTTCTCAGTGAGGGTGACGGAACACTGGAACAGGCTGCCCAGGGAGGTTGTGGAATCTCCTTCTTTGGAGACATTCAAAACCCGCCTGGACACGTTCCTGTGTAACCTTATCTAGGTGTTCCTGCTCCGGCAGGGGGATTGGACTAGATGATCTTTTGAGGTCCCTTCCAATCTCTAACATACTGTGATACTGTGATACTGTGAATGCACTTTCTGCTTTAGGCCCCTGGGTCTGCCAGCATGGTTTCTCCTAGGGATTCAGATTGCTACACTCGAGAGCATCCAGAGAAAAGCCCTCTATAAAAATGCCCAAGTGCTACATAGACTTAAAACTGTTCAGATTTCCAGCCGTCTTCTGAGTAATTTGTGTTTCAGCTGACCAAGGTGATTCTAATTGTAAAGATTCCTCCCTTTAGAAACTGCAGTGATGCACAGATAAGCCTGTTCCACATTTTCTATGTTAGAAGAGTCTTCTTGCTTCTTTTACAGTTTGCTCTCTGTTGCAAATACATCTCATCTATATTCTATGCACCACATACAACTGAAAAGTGCATTAGTCCAAGTGAGATAATAAAAGCTGTCCTTGCTTTCTTCATTTTTCACTGTAAAAAAAAAAAAAAGTATCTGTCCTTGCTTTCTTCATTTTTCACTATACTTTCAATAGAACCTCACCTGTCACAGTCTTCAGCATCCAGTTTATATTTTTTTTCTTTTCTGTTTGCATGTTTTGACTGTTTCTGCATAAAAGATCATACTAAGGAATACCTAAGAAATATAGGACATTCTGTCTCTATGATGAAGTAAATTTTCTACTTTCTTGTGGCTACACAAGAATAATACTTCAAAAACTGAGATTGTTTCTGCTCCCTGGAAATACTATATTACTTATATATTTTCACAACACCTCTCTTTCTTACCCTTTCTTAGACTACATATATTATGTCCAGGTCTAGGAACAATCTTATTTCTGTTTAGGCATATAAAGTTCATGTAGAAATTGATTAGAAATTATTGTAACTTTTCATAATAAGTGTGATTATCACCAATGCTAGAGTTTTACGTCTGAAATTTCAAATGCGTGATGGAAACTATTTCTATTAAATCAGAGAAGATACTTCAGAAAGATTCATATGTTCATAGGTTGAGATGGTTTTAAATGTTCTCTTTCTTTGGTGGCAGGTACTGCCTCTGCCTTAGATTATCTCTGGTACCCCAGGTTGATATTAATTTTTTTTTTATTTGAAATGAAATGAGGTTCCTGAATGGTCTTAATGATCTAACTTGGGAGGGAAGATTGTATCTAAACCTCAAAGGACATACAGAGAACTGCTAAATAAGTTAGCAATCATGAAGTCCTCAAAAGCAGCTTTACTACTTTATACCCTCCAGCTTGGCAGTTGTTTTAGACCTGCAAGAAGAGTATAAGGTATTCCCATAGGGAGGTAGCCATGGAAACATTACTTCTGGGTACCAGAAACCTCTGTTATCTTGTCATAGACACCACTGGGGTCCATTTCATCACTTATCTTATATCTTCATGGTCCTCTAAGACTCCTTCTTCATACCAGTTGTTACACTCCATCCCTCCAAAGGATTTGTCAGAGTCTCAGTGATGACTGCATAGCATGAGGGTCACTTTTGTCCTTGCCCATCCTGGCTCAGCTGTGCATCACTTAACACTGGAGGCTACTCTTCTTCTTGCTCACAAAAACTCCTAAAAGCCAAAATGGCAGATGAAAAAGAGGAAGGCAGAGACGGGTTCTTGCCTTCCCCTTTCTGTTTCAGATACAGACTCTAAATCAGTAGCAGAAGATTCGTTGTAGCAGAAGTTGCACTGGTTCTAATTTTGTACCATGGTGGTCTTTTTCCATGTTTTTTCCATTCTTTTTTCCAAGCAAAGAAGGCATTTCCCCACCATATGGTTGTAAAAGTCTTAGAAATTAAACTTCAGACAGATCCTAGAAAACTATCTACGCTGGTTCTCACTGTTCCCTGCTAACTGCCTTTCTTAGGCCCTTACCTTAAAACTCCTGAGAAGGCGGGAGTTTTACAGGGCATTCAGCTTGGTCAAACATTTTACTGCACTGCCAGGTAAAAGTTGTTCCTGATAACCTCTACCCTATTTTCCCAGTTCTCCTCGCCTATCCTTTCATCTGCACTTCCAATGCCATCTCTGTTTCATAAACATTTCAGGGCACTTTAATTCTCTATACTTCTTCTTGCTTGAATTCACATTTAACAATAAAAAAGAAATAATAATAATAATAATAATTTATCATTCATGAGAGATAGCTTCAAAATGGAAAGCTGTGCAGTCCCAAATTCCTCTTGAGCTGGGATTGCACAGTTCTGGATTTTGGCAAGTGTCCTGATCTAATAATAACAATGCCCAATGACACACTGACTTTTAAAAATGAGGTTTAAAAAATGTTTAAGCCAGTAGCCACATTTGTCACCAAAAACTTCCAGTATTACAGAGAAGATGGATTATCATGAGATGAAGTAATCCCATCAAACTGTCTGCTAATTCTATTAAAATTATGCAAGTGACAAGTACTCTTTTAAGCACTGAATAACCTTTTCAGAAGTATCCCTATCAAAGAATGTTGATTTTGCACTAACTCTCAGTAGCTGGAGAATATATTACTATGTACATCTATGTAATGCTTATTTCAAGAAGGGCACAAAAGTTTTTCCCTTTACTGCTAAAATGTCATTGTCTACTGACTCACTTCAACTAAATGACCAATTTTTTTCCTTTGCTCCCATGGCCAGTAGGTGTGTATCCCATATTTGCAAAGAGCATAACACTCCTTATAGAGTCAATAAGAACAGCTGAAGAATACCCTGCATCTGCTATTTATCACATGGGCTTTTCTTGCTATTGTGTAGCTATTTTTCTTTTTACCTTCTGTATTCCACTTAATAGTGACTACTTTAGTTAACTTGGTGAAATTTTAAGATGATCCTATGGCCATAAGGAATGGGTAAACAGGCATATATGAATACAAAACCCTTAAAATGCTGATCTTGCCTCTTTTGTCAATGCATTGCCATTTAATTGATGTAATGTTACTTAAAATGGGTGCAAAATCTTACTAGCCCCAAAGCAATCTGAGTTTCCTATCTCTTTGTACTTTTCTAACTCCCACTACTGCCAGTGGAACGGCAGAAAGCCCTCAGACCATCAATGCACTGATAGCCATTATAGTCTAGATCTGAGTGTGACCTTGAAAGGGGTTATTTGGAGAATATGCAATTCAGTAAGTACTTGTGATCAAAGGCTGTAATATGCCTAGCTTGCATAATTTCAAAATAATTGGAATAGGTGATTTATCTCCTGCCAACTTTTAAAGGATCTTTATAAAAGTATGAAATATGTCTCAAAGTGTTAAACTGTGTCCTAAGGCTGTTAGATTTTACACATTTGCATGACTTTTTAAATCAGTCCTAAAGCTGTTGCTTTTGGTTATTTTTAATGTAGTCCACAGAACAGATACTGTTCCATTTTTACCATTCTCTTTGGTATCTACACAATGACAAGAATTGTATTTTTGACCTTTAATCTAAAGAACATTCAGACAAGACTGAGAAAATGCACATTTGGAAATACTTCATTTAGAGATTGGGGAGAGAGGAAAAAGAGAAACAATTCTGGGGGGTGGTGGGGAAAGAGACTGAGCAAGACAGCAAACAATAAAGCATCTCTTTTGGTCTCAGTCTCCAGAGTCTCTGCATTCAGAGAACACAAGTGTGCAAGTTGTCTCAAGCAAACATGAAAACACAGCAGACTTCTTGCATATGAATCTATAAAAAGAATTAGAAAATGCTGTTACCTCTCAGTACAAGATAGTGGAAACAGAAAAAATATCTAATCAAAACTTTCAATTCAGAACAATAAATATGTCATTTTTGAAAGATGAGGATGCTGAGTTAGTTTTTGCTCTCTCCATCAACACTGCCCTGCTTTCTAATTCCATTGCAGAACTGAAACAGAAGTGGGAGTAAAAGTATGGAAAGTCTGCTGGAAGAGCTCTGCTCTCACCCTTTCACCCTTGCCTCATTTACTTGGCTCCAGTTGCACACATCTGCTTCACCAGCTCTTTCTCTGGCGCATCCTTCAATAGAGCTCCCCTTGCCTGAAATTTCCTTCCTGACCCAATCCACTGTGCCCCACCCCTTATTCTTTAAAGTCTCCTCTCTAAATACTCATCTCATGAAACCTCAAAACCCCAGTCCCCCAGTCTTCCCATTGAGTCCATCAAAGAAGGAGAGGTAAAAAAACAAATGCCCCCCTGCAGATCTACTGACACGGAAATGAGCTGAGTGAAAATCCTCAGTTGCTCTTCCTGTTTAAACTTTCTTCCCATGCTGTTCGTCTTGTTCTGTCTATCTAGATTGATTGTTAATTGTCCTTCTGCTCTTTTATACCTAGAGTTTCCCAGAGCAGGGTCTTCCTTTTAATAAATGGAGTTCATAAAATATATAGCCTCCTCTTGGCACAGAGAGAATTTGTATTCAAATTCTTATCAATTACTCAATACCAAATATGACTGAAAAAGCTCACAGAGGGCTATCACTTCAAATTTACTATCACAATTTATTTAGCTGTGAAATGCAGATAAGCTTCTAAGTTTTTGGATGCTTCTTGAGACAAAGGCCTATATTCATCAGATGCTTGGAGACTCAAAGCAACCATAAACCCAACTTTTTCTGTCCAGGGAAACAGTTTTACAGCTGTTTTCTATTGTCAGAATGAGTCAAACCATATGGGTGAATCTGGTCCCAAATCTTCTGAGATCCACCAATCACTTGCTTTCACCTAGACAGCTGCAGATTTAATCAGTTACACTCTGACTTCTGAAAATTTAAAACCATTATTTAAGTCTAACAAGTCTCAGCCTGAATCACCTCTTCTATCTCTTTATTTCAGGATAGCATTCACCTCTGTGCATAAGTCAAACATAAGGCTGATTCACAAAGGCTGTCCTGCTTACACAGTAGAAAGTTTCAGTAAGACAGAAGTGAGGAAAAGGCCTTCTCCTGACCATTTGCAAGGGAACATGTTCATTCTTTGTTAGCCCACAATTTGGTTCCCAGTATATACAGAACAAAGCTGGAGTCAGATAAAGGTCATTGCACTACGATTTTGTTTGAAAATGGATTTTACTTTACAATTTTGAAAAACTTTATTCCCTCTACACTTGAGGCAGTTAGATTTCTCTGTAGTTACATGTCTCAGTATGATTATGTCATAAGTCCCCCAGGCCATTTTCAGCAACAAAAAAAGTAACATTTTATTTGCTTTAAAAAGTGGTTTTCTCTGGTTATATGCCAAAAACATGTAAATCAGAGACCAGAGCTACAAAATATTCAAGCAAAACATGGGGCTGACCATTTGCAAAAGGAAAAATAGAATAATTTCTTTAACCATTTCATTAATACTTCTGTTCTTTTTTTCCACTGGAATTTGTCTTCCATAATAATGCAATGCAAAAAGTAATCGTAGAAAACCAAAATCTTTTCAATGGATTAAGTCTTTGGGCTAAGTGTTAAATCAGTTATTTTTCTGATGAGCTGATGTGCCAGACTGCAAGTGTGGGGCAGTGGAGAGCCCTCAGCTGCATGGTTCCTGCTGATCTCTTTATAGAAACCTCCCTCCTCAGTTGGAGTTCTGATCTTTGCACTTGCAACTCAAAGGACTGGTGGGCCTAACCGCTCCCCCATAGCTTGCCTGCAACCATAGCTAATGCTCATCCTACCAGTTCCAGGTCTCAGTAAGGCAGGCAGGATGTGTTTTCACAGCCTTCTGTCTTCTTCACCATGAAAGTTCAATATTCACACAAGAATGTTATTTAAAACAGTAATCTCAGGCTGTATTTTTTGGTACCTTTCTCCTTCCACTTTGCTCAGTCCTCTTTAAAACTATCTCAGCCTCATTCTCACAGGGACACTAATGTAAATGCAAAATGATGATAAAATCTAAGATGAAAGCAAAATGTGGCTCTTGACCAGATTAGACTGACACATACTAGAGAAAACCATGTGGATGTCAGACAAAGTGAATTGATCACAGCTCCAGTTTACTGTTGATCTTGGGCCAGATATTTTGCAGGCAAATTCTGACATTGCCCAGAAGGCCAAGTTTCTTATATAACAAAGTAATTGGCCTGCCCGGAGCTGTCGTTCTGTCGCATCTATCTTTAGAAACGGATGAATTTATTTAGTAATTCAAGACACCAGTTATAAGGGGAAGCGGTTTACCACCAAGGGCCAACTGCTGCAGCCTGTTGACTAGCTGGGCTATGCAGTGTCTCTGGCAAGATTGCCTGACTTGGTGCTCTGTAAAGCTGGTTTTCAGAGGAATCTGTCCAAGCCAAAGGTACGAGCAATGGAAAAATGGGAGCAGCAAACATCTTGTGCAACTGACCTGCTGGTTCATGTTCCACAAAGTATAAAAAAGAAAACCACTCTTTCATTACAATACAGTATGCAAAGAAAGACACGGGGTCCCATATTCTCACCGAAAACATTCCTTTTTTAATTACCTTTGCATGAAGCATGTGTCTCCCACACTGGGTTGCATTTTCATACAAAAGGAACCTCTTTAAAAGCACCTGCTGATCAGGTTCATTTTATTTAGAATAAAAAGCTTGATTCAATACAAACTCCTTGTTTTCATTTGGCTTGCAATGGCATTATTGACCATTTTGCGCAGCCAAATGGACTGCAACTTACTGCTGCATGTGTATGCAAAAAGGTATCTGTATGTAAAGCCTGCCAGTCCACTGACAGGTGGGTAACTTGTTTCCCTTTTCATGCCTGGGTAAGCCTGTTTTCCTTGTGTAGGAAGAAGATAGAGATTCTGGTGATCTGCACAGACTGGAAGTCCTGGACCATGTGCAACAGCTCAGAAACCCTTCATATTCTGCTCTCCAGTAGCCAAATCTTAGTGTCTCAGGTGGCAGGATTGTACTCTGTATGTCCCACTTTAGGGCCAGTGTTCTAGTGGCTTATTTGCAGCATTGAAGAAGCTATTACATGACAGTGGATCATTCTCTTTTCTGATAGCTACGGAGATAAGAGATAGTGAGGTTACTGTAATGTGTTCCTTAACATACTTGTGAAGTTTATTCTGGTATTTCAAGACTGGGTAGGATAAATGGAAATTTAAATTCTTAGGTATAAGTATAAAACAGTTTGAGTTATTTGCCTTATTTTTCCATTATATTTTTTTTAAGTGACTCTATTTTTTTTTTTTTCATCCTTTTCACTGTTTTTCTACTGGCCAGAGGACAAATACACAGCTAGTATAAGACTTACATCTCTTTGACAAGGCAATGACATTTCTTTCCTATCCTGCTTTCAAATCCTAGTTACAATGATGCTGTGAACTTTCTTTAAGTTTCACTGATGTGAGAAAGATTGGTAGCACAGCTATTCATTTATTCTTTGACTAATTAGACCTAGCTTGCAGCTGAAGGAAAACTGGTAGTAAAGTAGCTTTTTAGGTGTGTGAAAAACATTTTTTTCTGGATTTCACTTTAACCAAATTTAACCAAAACCTAAAAGGCTTCACCATTTCCTATGAACCAGAAATTCTGAGAACTCTCTTTTTCCTAAAGGAAGACATATGATACTTTCCAGATTAAATATTTTCCCAGAACCTACATCTGCTCACCAAAATTGTCATTTTCTTCATTTTCCTTGGTGCTAGAGAAAGCTGGTTCTATTGAACAGCTGCCTGCAACTCCAAGGTTTGTGGCCTACTTTACAGCCAAGGCTTCCTGGGTTTTTCTGCTCCCGGTGCCAAGCAGGGAAGAGCTAGCTGATGTTGAGCTGATGACCTTGGACTCTCCAGCTTAGGAGCAGGCTGCCCCAAAAGTCAAAATTCCAAATTAAATCCTGGTCTGTATTTGGCAAAGAGCTTGCATCAGGAATCTTTCGGGCTGAACACAACCATCGTTTCTGTTGGAAAATGTTATTCATGACACTAACTGAGAACAGCATGGGGCTGCCCTACTCTAGGGGAAATTCTGGGAGTTCAGAAGAAATCTCTGTAAATAGGTTATAGAGAAGAGCAAATAATTTCTTTCATATCTGTGCCCATGAAACTGGCAGGATCATGCCCAGGGCACATACTAAAAGAGGCTGCCTGTGGAATGATGGTAAGAGACTGTTTTCTGGCTTCTATCATATGCCATGATCAGGACTATAAGAGTGATGCACAGAATACATGGCAAGTTTCCACATTTGCTTAAGCCAGGCACTGCTTGTTTCTTCACTGTCCTTTTCAGTGATGGTAGGATTCAGCCACAGTTGTGGGAGCATCCTCTACAAAATTTCCACTGGGAAAGGTGAAGTTTTGTACTTTCCCCTTTTGGGATTACCCTCACAATAGCCAGGCTTGACAGGGTCCCTAATCTATAAACACCTAGGAAATGCAAAGATGTTGCTGTTGGCACTGTTCCAAATCAATTTTAGAATTCATATTATTTTTTTCTTCTGAGCACTCATAAAAATAAACAACCTTACTTGGAAAAAAAGAATGTTTATATGTCATCAATATTATCTTTAGCTAGTTTTGTAATTGCCAAGACCTAGTGGAACCATTAGGGTCATATTTTTTTATTAAGCAATATGTATGTATACTTATATATTGTGGAGTCTCTCTCCTGCTCTCTTCATACATATGTGTGTGCATATGCTATATTTAATTTTAAGAAAGCAGTCCTTGCCTCATACACCTTGTGGTCTGTTGGAATGTCTGTTGGTGAGATGGCACTTGGGTAAATTTGGGACCAGATGCAGCGGTTATTTGGATGTGCATGTATGCCTGTGTGCACCTTCCCATTTGTAGTTTCATTATTGAGACTGCATGTATGATACCATGCAGTGCTAATGGTGATAAGGAAGCCCCTGCCAGCCTTTGCTTCTCTTTTAGATCTAGGCCTGAAGATGATGGGGAAGTGGTCATAAACTGAAATAGCCTCAGGTACTATTGTGACGCTTACGAAGCATGATGTCGAATTTTCAATGGTATTTTCTTCTGTTTTGCAAATGCAATTTGTGCTTGTAATTTCTGAGATGTATTTGAACAAATGGGTAAAAGGGTTAAATTTCCCTTGCCTCCATCTTGGAAGCTCCAGGTTCAATACCTAATCCTTCTTCAGGTACAGTCTTGAAATACCTACTAATATTTGCTTTTTAAGGACAGAAGACTAACAGTATAATTTCAAATGTCTTCAAAATTCACTGGCAGTCACTTAAGATCTCCATTAGTATAGTTAATGGAGACTAGAGCAGCAGAGGGGTGCATCCTGCAACATCTCTTTGATCATTACATTTGGGCACCTGATTTTCTTCCTTTGGTGACATAGTACCAGAGGGAAAGGGAAAAATGAGGAGGAAAAATATGCATCTTGACTTCATCCTAAGATGGAGCTGGTAAACATTGAGAGTCCCACCATTCAGTTATAACCAGAAGTGCCAAAACCTTCCCTTTACTGAGATGAAGGTGCCGGGTGTGGGGCAAAAAGGAAAAGGAGAATAAGGAAAGGCTTAATTCAGGCACATTTCAGGTTGTCTTAAAAGATGAAAAATGAAGAGTTCGTTTTTTGCAGATAATGTTAAAATTATTTTTAACATTACTTCTTTTATAATGACCCTTCTGGAAGGGTGAAGCATGTATTCTTACAAGCTTCCTTTATTCAACTTAAAACATGCGTGCTGAGTTGTTTTTGGCTTTTATACTTGAGAAATAAAAAGGAGCAGGATTTTAGGAGAAAGTATATTTCTGAAGCATTATTTGTTAAAATGTCTATAAAGAATTTCATGGCCACAAAAGCGAAACAGCTCACAGTTTGACCTTCCAACCTTTCCTGGCATCTCAGTAGGTGATACTGCAAAACCTGGAGCTGTCTGTTTCTGGCTGGAGCTGTCTGTTTTTGGCTGGAGCTGCATTATGGTAGATTTGCACAATAATTTGCCTACTTGCTATCCCTCATACTAATAATGGGTTGCCCCTTAGTCTCAGTAAGACTATCAAGGATCATGTGTGCCAGGACAGACCCCGCAAAGCTCATCACCCCTCAATCTTGCTCAGCAAAAAATAATTTATTAAAAGAAAAAAAAAAAAAGATAAAAAGTCAAGCAATGAGACAGGCAGTGAAACTGGGGTTCCTGCAGCAGTCTGGATGGAGAACATGATGACAACATATTGGCAGATTTGTGAGATGTGAGCTGAAAAAGAAGCAGAACCCTTCCCACTCACTCCAACCCCATAACCAAACAGAAAACACAAGAGTGTTAGTGCTTATGCCTGAAGAGCTGGAGACATTGTCAGACATATTCTGCACTCCCACATAAGTGGAGACATAAAGCTGGGTGGTATTAATGGAGTAGTTTTTATACCTAAACCCACACTTTAAGGAATTGTTTTGATGATGCTGGCCATTGGTGCTTGTAGGGCTTGGACAGAGAAGAGATGGTTCTACTTTTGAGATTATCCCTGAAGTGTAGACACCCAGATATGTCCTAGGTCCAGATTTGTTAAAAAGGAATACTTTTGGTCCAGGAGGGCTGTATAGAAAGGGCTGTACAGAAAACTTGGTCTAGCATGTTCCCACATTGATGGCAACAGTGAGAAACAGAGGGAAAATATATACACTGCTCAGATATAAAGCCATGAAGACTTGCCACCAGTTCTAGGTTTAAATATCATTGAACAGAGTGATTTCTCAAAAAGTTGGAAACTGAAAATTTTGCTTGACTGTCTAAAACAATATTATTAAACTTCGGTTTTCTAGAAGTTCAGATAAGATTGCTGGAGATATTTTATCAGTTTTGAGTCTACAAAGTTTTTCTTTACATGACCATGAGTCAACAGTATAATTATTATAGCCAGACATACAGGCTCAGGAAATCTGTTCAGCCAAAACCAGAGATGGTTATAACCAGGGGTGAAATTATCATGAAATTTTGTGTGCTTTTCAGCCAGTAAATGAGAAGAGGAAATTGAGACAACTGCAGATGCAAGCTCAGCATCCCCTTGTTCTAAGATGAGAGTATTAAATACACATCACAAATCTATAATGTAAATCAATAGTCTTAATGTTTCAGAAACACTGGATTTGATGAGTCTGAAGTGTAGCTAATGGACAAATTTCATACCAAGAAAATCTCCACTTCTGTCTGTATGTACATATATTAATTACTGATAATTAATATGCCAATTAACCTCTTAGAGTTCAGTGCAAGTCAGCATTCTTTTATATTTAGATCATGTCTGAGGATTTCTTTTACAGAAGACATGACAATCCCAGAAATTATAGTATCACAATGCTGGTCTTGCTTTAATGTCTATGGCAAGGCCAGGGTCCAGGGAGAAAAGGAGAGTCTACCAACAGCAAGGTGATCACACAACTCTTTTCATGGCTATTGCTACTGGAGGTGAAACAAGGGGATCAATTGTGTATTTTGGTAAGTCCAAGTGATTCTCTGTGCATTACATCCCGACAAATAAAACCACACACATTAAGACTGCCAATCTCCATTTGAAGCCCAGGCAGTGGGATCTGAAGTGGAAAGAATAAACACAGACAGTTACAGAATCCAGTCTTTGACCCCAGGAACGGTTGGAGTTTCTGGCTCAGATCCCACAGGCACCTACTGCTAACCAGCCTCAGTATGTCTTTAAAAACATCAGAAGGTATTCCGAGTTGGATTGAATATGTTTATGTGCTTTTTGCCCACCTCTTTTTCACAAGCACAGCAGCCTAGTGCGCTTTGTCAGCCTTGTATGAAAGGTGCAAAGTTCATGCTCAGACTCCATGCTTCCTGTTGATAATTCTCCACTATATTGCATAACTCTACCCGGAGTTTTAAAGTGTGTCCCTTAT